TTCCCAGGCAGTATCACTAAGGAAGTAGGATTGCCCAACCTTCCTTCCGAGAAGTGGCTGGTGGGTTTGAACCGCCAGCCTTCTGTCTGGTTAGCAGGCAAGTGTCTTAGCCACTATGCTACCAGAGCTCCCTCTAAAGCAGTAGCGCTTTCATTTTATAAATATTTCTTAAACATGAGGTACCATCCTAGAACTTTGTGATACCTAAGTGAGCAAAACAGATAAAAGTTTGAGATAGCAAACTCTTTGTGCTCCTACTATGTCTGATTCATTCTTACCACAACCTTGTGAGGAAGGTCCATTTTAACTCCTCACTTCAGAAATGAGGAAACTGAGACTCAGGAAATGGTAACTTGTCTAAGGATCATCCTCTAATATGTGGCAGAGGTAGGATTCTAAATTCTACACTCTATCCACTAGTCCCTTGCTTGAAAATGAGATTTTCTGAATAAGGTATTCATTCTATGATGCAGACAAGATAGAGATTAGTTAGGTGAAAAGGAATCTCCTTATGGAGAGTTATGAAAATCTCAGTCCAGGCTGATTTGCAAGGCAAGGGAGAGTTCTGTGGCATTTTGAAGACAGAAGTAATGTTAGTGATTTTTATATCTATGGGTATTTGTAGAACCCAAGACACCAGTTTGGAGGCATCTTTAATAGTCTAGGCACATGAAAGCTAACATGTAAACCAGTGGTTTTCAACCCTGTGTAACCCATCTCCCTGTTCTTTAACAAATATTCAGTATCTTATATTAACCTGAAATGAGATCTATAGGCAATAAAATATATCCATAAGCATAATTTTTAAAAAGGAATATAATGGTCTAATTGTAATATGGGTGAAATAAGTATTTTATTAGAAAAAATATTTGCCATTTAGATGTGTAAATGCTTGGCTCGGTCATCATTCCATTAGAAGGCATTAGAAACAATCATCTGCTGGCATATTTGCACCAACACTATGAATGCAACAACTATAAATACAGACTGATTTCAGATGTATTATACTGGCAAATCAAGGCATTGTCATCGACAAAGTGACTTTTCCAAAATGGTGAACAATTTTCAGTAAAATTCTGAACAAAACAAAGTAGAATCTATTTTCAATTTACTTGGTAGTTGCACTTTTGGAAAATATATTTTGTATATAATGAGCGCTGGACTAAGATTAGGAGCTGTCAATGGTGTAGTGGTTAAAGCATTTGGCTGCTTCACAGGCAGGGATTTTGTTTGTTCTCTGATATGTATTTCCAGCATTTATAATGGTACCTTGTATGTGGTAAGCATTCCAAAGAGAAATTGTTGAATGAATAAATGTTATCCTAGAAGCAGGAAGCAATGAGAAGAACTGTTCTCTCCAGGAATGGAATCAATAAAAATTTCCAGTTGTGTACTAGTGAGTCCTACATTGAAACACATAATTTAGTTTACCTAAAATCTATTTCATTATATTCCCTCCTCAAACATGCTGATTCTTCTCTTGTTTTCCCTGTTTGAATAATGCCATCATCAACTCTACTTTTCCTTTACCTCCAACTTTCAGTCAGTCAGTCACTTATCTTGGTCTCTCTGGTAGGTCAGTCTGTGTATCAACTTGGCTGGGCCTGGTTGAGTGCCTGGGCAGCTGGATGTAGTATTCCCCATGATGAGACTGGTAATCAACTCCAAGGTGGAAATCTACTGTGAGCAGCTGAGTAGCTGCCTCAGGGAATGTGGTCTGCTTCCTGTATATAAGCAGAAGCCTCAGGAAATGATCTCTAGTTTATGGCAC